GGCGCAATCTCACCAGCACATCTGGGAAGTGTAGCTCTCCCGTGGCTCAACCGAGGCTTCCAGCCGAAACTGCGTGGCAAAAAACTAGTACCTCGGAGGTACTAGTTTCCGGAAACTGCGGGGCAAGGGCGGGCGTCTGATCGCGTTTCCGGTGGCATCCGGCACCCGCCCATGTCCCCTTGCAAATAAGGTGGTTTTTTTTGTCCAAGTCTCTGTGGATGCGCACACGCACCCAACGGAGCATGCGCATTTGTCGTGTACACACACACAAAAACAGTTTGCCGCGGCGCGCACTTCTTCATTGCACGCCGACTTGTCCTGTGATCAGCATCTCTCCCTTGCCATGGAACCTCCACGGTACCTCCACAGGAGGTCTGATCGCGTAACTGCGCAGTAGTTTGCCCCAGGGCAAACAGCCACGCTTCTCCCCCACAGTTTCCTGCCCGTGTGACCGGGGCCCCAGATCACCAAGTTGTCCTTTAGATGCTTGCAGACTGATCCCTTTAAAATCTGCTCCAGTATCTTCCCTGGGACAGAGGTCAGACTGACTGGCCTGTAGTTTCCTCGGTCATCCTTCCTCCCTTTTTTGAAAATTGGGATAACATCTGCCCTCCCCCAGTCTTGTGGCATGTCTCCCATCATCCAAGAGGTCTGGAAGATAACGGACAAAGAGAGCTCTGCAAGCTCTTTAGAAAGTTCTTTGAGCACTCTTGGGTGCATACCATCTGGCCTGGGGGATATATACTCATTCAGCAGCCACGTGCTTCTCAACTACCTCTCTGTCCATGTCAACCAGCAGCCCGGATGCAATGCCTTGCCTACTACCATCCCTAGACGAGCCTGTTCTCTTCTTCAGGGGAAAAAACTGAGGCAAAATAGGCATTGAGCCTTTCTGCTTTCTCTGTTTTCTGTCAAGAGTTTCTCCATTTTCAACCAGCATCTTTTATCTCGTGTTTGTTCATCACATATCTAAAGAAGATACTCTTGTTGTAGCGAGCCTCCCAGGACAGCTTTAGCGCACTGTGAACTCTGGCCTCTCTGATGACTGACCTACAGTGCCTAGCAACCCGCAGATACTCTTCTTCTTGCCTCCATTTCTTGAACATTTCCCTTTTTCCCCCTTAGCACATCACACAATTCTCTGTTCATCCACACTGGCTTCTTGGATCCCCTACCAAGTTTCCTTCTTGATGGAATAGTGACAGCTTGAGCTTGCAAGAGCTCTTGTTTTAGGAGAGCCCATCCTTTCCCATCCAGCAATATTGTGTATGAAATAATTCTCATCATACCTCTGAGTTTATTAAAGTCTGCCTTACTGAAATCTAACATATACATGTGGTTACGAACTTCCTTGGTCCCCCACAGCAAAAGGAATTCTAGCAGGACATGATCACTTTCCCCTAAGGTTTTAGATCTTGACAAACCAACAATGTTGGAAGTTGGTTATTAAATAGATGGATTTAGAGAATGAGAGAGATTATCCAGTATTCTACAAATCTCCCTGACATTTCTTCCTATCTCCACCAAATCAGTCACATCTTGGCTATTATTTTCACCCTCAAGCTTTGGAGGAAATGTCCTTTTTTAATTCTAGGGTTCTAGGTGTGCTGCCAGCATTCATCACTGGAGTTTGATGTGTTTGTATGGTTATCTAATCTGTGCACAAACAATTATTAACAAGTAATAATACTTGTGACTCAAAATAAGCTTTATCTGACAAACAAAATAAAGTTTGCCTCACTACTTTATTCTTCGTAGTGTAGTCTTGCTACCATAACAAAAATTGTGTTGTTAGTTGTCTAATCCAGATCCTTGAAAAGCATTATTTTCCTACCCATTTTGCTTTGCTGACACCACCATATAAGTATCTTATTTCTTTCATTTCACCCCCTCAAAGCATCTCTCTATTATGGACAGT